CCAGCAACATAGCCATTACGCTAACTGCTGGTTCCCTATTTTTATTAATTTTTAAAAAGAATGATCTATTTGTTTATTTTTAAATTTATTATTATTATTTGAATTGCTACAGGGCATGTGCATTCACAAGAGGGAGACAGAGAGAGAGAAAGTGAGACAGCAAGCCACCAGGTTCAGGACTTGAACTGCAATTGACCATGTGGAAGTCTAGCACCTTAACCACTATACCACCTTCTGGCCCCAGAATTATTTTTTAAAATTTTATTAGTTATCATTATTGTTGTTTATTTTTACTATTTTAATTTTTAATCAGTTAATTAATTTTTTTTAGTTTTTTGAAGTCAACCAGAGAGAGAGAAGGAAAGTGAGAAAGCAAGCTGCCACTGGAACTTGACCCACAGTCAGCCATATGGGAGTCCAGTCGCCTTAATCACCATGCCACCTGCCAGCCCCTATTATTATTTTTTTAAATTTGACCAGAGAGATACAGAGAAAGGGAAAATGAGAAAGCAAGTCACCAGGTCCAGGACTCAAAACCATGCTCGGCCATATGGGAGTCCAGCACCTTAACCACCATGCCACCTGCCAGCCCTGGTGGCATAGTGTTTAAGGTAGTGGATCCCACATGGCCAACCAGGGTTCAAGTTGTGGACCCAGGAGCTTGAAAAATCATACCAGGTGCATGTCCCGACCCGGGGGACAGTCAAACAGGTTTCCTGAGGGAAGGAGTGAGAGATGGGACGAATGACGCAGTGTTACAACACGGAAACGACACAGTGTTACAACTCTTCAGGGTCGTCCGTTTATTGTGGGCAGCACGGAGATGACACAGTGTCACAGCTCTTCGGGGTCATCCGGAGACGACTTGGTGTCACAGCTCTTCGGGGTTGTCTGGGTCGTCTGGAGATTGTGGGCCAGGGATTGTGGTTATATACATGTTGGTGGGCAGTGATTGGTTGAATGAAGGATTATAAAAAGTGGGTTATGATTGGTTGCTTTTGTGGACCAATCATGAGGTGCCGGATATGCAAATCCGAGGGATTCTAGTGGCCAGAGTATGGTTTTGAAGGTGAGGTTTTGAAGGGAAGCCAATCATGGCTTTTGGCATTGTGTAAATGTTTGCTCTCTGAGAAACCGGCGATATTTGCTGGTGCGCAGCCTCCCACAGGTGCATGCGTGTGTGTGCACCCAAAACCCCGAGAAGAGAGTGGAGAAGGAATTGTGGCACTTTCTTCTCTGTGTCTTTCTCTGGTGAGTGCACACACCCCATCCCATGGCAAAAACCTAAAAGAAAAAGAAAAGGTTATTAATAGCCCTAAATAAGATAAGTGCCTGGTATTTCTGATAAATAATAACTATCGTAATCTATTAGAATGTAAGCTCCTCGAATGCTGATATGTGGGTTGTGTTGCTCATTGACTATTCCCAGCCCTTAAAACAATGCCTGCTACAAAGAAAGGCTCAAGAAATATTTGTTAATTGTTAAATTATCATTACTAAGAACTCTTCTAGCTCTCCTCTTTAATGAAGTTATGAATCTACACAAGAGGCAGCTAACAAAGTACCTGAAGGAAGAATGTCTCTGTGCTGAAACCAGGCTCCAGGTCTGAAGGTCTTTCCCTCCCTTCTGCCTAGGCCTTCC